CCCCACACTTTGGGAAGGTCTGCATTAAGTAATCCAAAGTATTCAGAATATGTTACTCTCATCGAGTAACGTAATGGAATACGTTACAGAATACATTTTGGGGCATGTATTCTGTAATGGAATACATTTTAAAAGTAACCTTCCCAACACTGGTTATTGGGCATTCACTCAGTTAGCTAGTTAGTATCCATTTCAAACAGGACAGTAGGTAACAACAGTAGGTTACAGACAATTTTAAGTTTTAGATTTTAAATAGGCTGTATACATTTCAATGGGAGCAACAGGACAGTCAGATGTCACTGATTTTACTAAAGAGTAGGGCGTAGGATTGTAGGGTAGCAAACATCAACAGAAAAGTTTTCAACACTGCAAGTTACCTGGTGTAATGTTTTTCAGCTAAAAAGAAACATGGTCTGACTCCTACCTAACTATATAAAGAGTAGCTGAAGGTTAAATGCACCTAACATGTCTTGTTTTAAGCCAGGCACTTACACCTCCGCTTGCTCTTGCAGCAAGAGTGCTAGAGCCAGAGTAGGGGAGAGCTGGAACAAACCATTTTGGGAGGGGGGTATCTATACTTTTGTTGTTAAAATGTTACGTCTCAACCAAGTACTGTATGCTTTTTATATTTTTAGTAGTGTGTCACACAAACAGTAATATTGTCATAAAAAAGTAAGAAATCTTTGGGGGTGCTTTGATACATTGCCCCTGGTTTCAGCTCTCATCCACGCACGTCTGCTTACCTGAATTTGTACTTCTAGAACAAATTTAAAGAACGTCCATCTTCATCATGTGGTCACATACACTCAGTAATGACTCAGGGGTTAGGATTAGGTCTCTTCACACACTGCTCGCTGGGTTTCTGACACCTTCCTTCTAACACATGTCTACACTAGTGGTGTGCGGATCGATATTGAAATATCGATTCTTCCGACACGAGTAATTTCTGTTCTATAATTGATTCTCGTATTAAAATATCTATATTTTAGTACTTTGGGGTAAATTTGTTGTTTATTATTAACAGGAACACAGTGGAAAGAAACTATATCATTCGGATCGTCTAAATTGGAAGGAACTACTTCCTCTTACGCCGTTCATAGTCATATAGGAAATACGGCTGTATAAATGTGTAGCAGCCCCTGGCGAGCACACTCACAATGATGGCTGAGCGTAAATAGAGTCATGTGTGTCGATACCACCCTGAATTTTACTTGGTATTGATCAGAAAGGAAATCAGTGGTATCGCACATCACTAATGCTCAGCCATTGTTGTGAGTGCGCACGCCAGGGGCTGCGACATTTATACAGCTGTATTTCGCACATGACTATGAAAGGCGGAAGAGGAAGTAGTTCCTTTGAATGTAGACAATCCGAATGTTATAGTTTCTTTCCACTCTGTTCCTGTTAATGATAAACTACAAAT